GCGCATGATCGCGAAATCGAAAGTGAACAGCGAGCGCTCATTCAAATGCGATTTCAATACCCCGCATATTGATAGTGGCTCCCTGATGTGCGAAAATAATATACAAAATTAGAATGTTTGCGGGAGCGGGACACACACGTTGCGGGAGTGGGCGGTAATGGTCAGAAATTCAACTGGAGCAGGCTTAAGAAAACTGTCCCCAAGGCTCTAGGCTGCGCATCAACACACATGCTAAGTTTTTTTCGCGCTACCTCATCTCCACCCCCAATCATTAGTGCCGTTTCGTTCTGTCTTTGACAGAACATAGGACAATTTTTGAAATAGCACCATAAACAGGAGTTAAAGCAAAAAAATATATAAATCTTTTGACTGAATTTTTCCTCAGCCAACCCCCATTCCACAGACATACCTGTCACACACACAGTTTAAAAGCAAAGTTTTTTTTCTTCTTGTAATTAGGAGCGCTTGTCCTCCTAATTTAAAAAAATTAGGAGCACCTTCTGATCAATAATAAAAAATTCTGACCAAAAATACTGGAGCAGGCTTAAGAAAACTGTCCCCAAGGCTCTAGGCTGCGCATCAACACACATGCTAAGTTTTTTTCGCGCTACCTCATCTCCACCCCCAATCATTAGTGCCGTTTCGTTCTGTCTTTGACAGAACATAGGACAATTTTTGAAATAGCACCATAAACAGGAGTTAAAGCAAAAAAATATATAAATCTTTTGACTGAATTTTTCCTCAGCCAACCCCCATTCCACAGACATACCTGTCACACACACAGTTTAAAAGCAAAGTTTTTTTTCTTCTTGTAATTAGGAGCGCTTGTCCTCCTAATTTAAAAAAATTAGGAGCACCTTCTGATCAATAATAAAAAATTCTGACCAAAAATTAGCCTTCCTAATACTAGGTGACATTTGACTCAAAGTAACTTACAGGGGTATTTTCTTTTTACCTTTGTAATGGCATCTTTTTAAATGATACGTTCCGTCATCTGTCATCGCGTTATAAGCGCGGAACCTGCGGGAATGAGTACAATTGTAATTAATAGCCGCAATCCCGCGCCGAAATTCAAGTCCTGCTCTGTGTTCTCTGCTAATAACCCGACTGTGAATGATGCGAGCCGCGTCACTATGTTGTCACTGAGAAGCTGCAGCCGTGGCCAGGAATGAATTTTGGTGTGCCGGCAGAACAACAACAACAACAATGCGCTACATGTTTCTTTTCCCCTCATTTTTTTTCCCCAATTGACGAAAATCCGTTGTAGCGACGGGAAACTTTAATCCCTGCATAAACAAAATTTATTTCAAATTTAATTCAAGCACTTTCAAGGACCTATGTTTGTTTTCAAGTACTTTCCAGGCCTTGAATCCATATGTCCGTATGTGTGAGGTCACACAGACAGGCATCTGAGATCGGCTCGATTTGAGAAAGGGGAAAACATTTAAAGAGATTAAAAAAAAAAAACACTGGGTTGATTTTTATCATTATAGGGTGGTTGTGTACACACACTGCCAAAACACATTTCAGTTCAAACAACTTGTAAAAGTGCATGTAGCATCCTATGACCCCTTTAAGGTTCCATTATAAAGTTCAGATCTGTGAATCGGTATCATCTGTTAAAACAGACGTTAAACTCACCTGAGATCTTTAAAGCAGCACTTTGAAAAATCTACAGATTTAAAACTTTGTGGACCTTAAAAAGGATCTTCTATGGTATTAGGCTGCAAAACCTTTTCTTGCTCTAATTGGAAAGTTTATTTTTAAGAGAGTGTCTTTGAAACTAGTATTGTGAGGTTGTTATAGGCTGTTGTTTTGAAGAGGTGTAGGCTACAGGGACCGTCCTCTGTGATCTCCTCTTCCCACAGGGCCTCCGCGTCTTTGAACACCTGGTGCTAATAACCAACCTAGTGCTGTTCCCACACAACATTATCAGCTGAACACAACTGACTGCAACACTCAATACAGAAGGGGAATTCGCTTAGAATGAACTGCGCCCACTGATAGAGTCATTTATTTGCACATGCTGTCTGCGCTGTTTTAGCATGTGATTCAGTAAAGGAATTATGCAAATCAGGTAACGGCACAAACACAGCCAAAAAATTACTGCGGAATGCAATTTGCACAGCTCTATTCCATTTGTTTTAGGTCGGTTCTGAGTGCTAGGGTCTTTAAAATGCAAAAAAAAAAAAAAAGCCTTGATATACCCATACACCAGGGCCGCATTAACCATTGGGCTAGGCGGGGCTGAAGCCCCGGGGCCCGGACAAGGAGGGTAGGGGGCCCTGCAGTAAGTCATAGCCCCGGGGCCCAGTAAGGTCTTAATGCGGCCCTGCCATACACATATTTTTTCTGGCAACAATATATTTCAAATATATGCTCAATGTATGTTTGTAAAAAGTCTGCCTTAAAGAAATATATTTTTTCAAATTAAAAATATATTTAGTTTAAACATTTAAAGGGGTCATATGATGTTGCTAAAAAGAACATTATTTTGTGTATTTGGTGTAATGAAATGTGTTTATGCAGTTTAGAGTTCAAAAAACACATTATTTTCCACATACTGTACATTATTGTTGCTCCTCTATGCCCCGCCTTTCTGAAACGCGTCAATTTTTACAAAGCTCATTGTTCTGAAAAGCAAGGTGTGCTGTGATTGGACAGCTATCCAGTGCGTTGTGATTGGCCGAATACCTCAAGCGTGAGACGGAAATGTTACGCCCCACACATACTGTTGATGCCGTGTCCGGCCGGAGCGACGAGACATAAACATTAAAACCCATTACAAACGAGGCATTTGTTGCATCCAGTGGGGACATAATTACAGATTATAATGACTTATACTGTCTTTTTACGCGTTGCGTTGCATCGCGCCGCGCCGCGTAAACATAAAACC